ATGTGGAATAAATTAAATATCTGCCTAGGTAGGCCAGAAAAAAAGTCGAAAGTCTCGGTATATGTCGTGTAGTTGGAATGAAAAGTGATTAAATTGTATGCATCTTCAGAATGTTCTACTTGTACCTTATACAAGTCAGTCATCAGTCATATATGATGTGTGCGTATACCAGACAAACGATCATTCTAATGAACACGTTTTTTTTTCACGACTCACGAGTCTTCGTGGGCCGCGATTCAACACCCCGCGATTTCTTGATGTGATGTGACTGACGTTTTGACGTGATATATTACTAGTGATTATTTCGTATTCATGAATATAAATATTATTATAAATGTTTTATAATAATTGATTAGTATTTTATTTTATTTTCAAATTTAGATTACAATTATATTGTGGTTTATTTGTATTATGCTATTTTAATAGATATATAATTTTAGATGTATAATATCTAGTCAATTTGATTATTATATAAATATACTAGGATCGGCCCGGGCTACGCCCGAGATTTTGTTATAATTTTTGTGATATGTTTTGTATATATTTTTTATATATGTATATATATATATGTGTTATAAAAGAATATGTCATTAGGTAATTTTAAAATTATTTTCACTTTTTGTCTAAAAAAATTTTTAATAATAAAAACTTGTTTTTTAGGTGTTTTGAATTTTTTATTTTGTTTTTTTTTGTTATTAAAAGCTATGTATAACATAATGAACAAAAAGAATAAATAATGAATTAAATCTTAAATATGGTCTAAATACTTTTTTATCTTTCTTATTTATTTTAATTTTAAATAATTCTTAAAGATAAAATAATTAAATTTGACTTTGGTTTTAATCAATTTTGAAAAATATTCTTAATTGTATTTGCATAATATTGTTATTTTCTTGAACAAAATTGTTATTAACAAATTATGTATTGTGATTAAAATTCTATATTATAGGATTCCTTGGATGTCATATGATAATGCATGAATGCATGACAATCACTGCTCACAAAATTTTTAATGTAGGAATTTTTATTATATAGTTAACGGAATGCTTAACATCTTTTGTATAATATAAAATTAAACTAAAAAAGATGGAAGGTCCAAAATTGTTATCAAATCTATATTAATTAAAATTATTAATTGTTATATATTAATTATATTAGGTAATTTTGTAGTGATTATTTCAGAAAAGAATAAAAAAATGTTTTGTATACTACAAATCAATTTGATAGTTAGCTTAATAAGATACATAATATATATTTAAATAAACCAATATTTTTTTTAAAAAAAAAATCTTATAAAAGCATCCTAATCAATGATACGTAGTTACTTTAGATACATAGTGGATGAAACAAAAAGTTTACATTGTTTAAGTGTGTTATAAAATCCCATATATAGAGTTTATTTGTTTTTAAAATAGTTACAAAAAAAAAGATTTTAAATTTGTTCGAAAATTCTACGATAATGTGTTTTTGGTGGTATGTCATCATGTTCGACTGGCCACATGGATGTTCTAATTATTACTATATTTTATCATATGACTTTCATAGATATATATCTACTTTTTCTTGTTTTATTTATTTATTTTAAGTTTAATATTTGGCAAAGACACAACAAACTATAATGGATTAAGATACATATATTCTTTATACATTTTTTTTTACTCTTTACGGCTTTTTGTCTTCATGAAAAATGAGTAGAAAATGCTAAAAGAAATTGCATCCAACCAACCAAAGAAACGTTCGAAGCATCAAAAAGAATATTATTATGGGAGAGTGTGGCGTCATTTCCTCTCCTACCCCAATTCGAAAACCCTGGCTTAATACTTTTTACAATTCCCTCGATTTTGGAACTGAGTTTTATTACTAAGACTTTTAATTAGTTAATTTAGACTCAGAGTATGATGTCTACAACCTTTTTAGAGTGCAGTAAACCCATACCGTGAAACTTAACCGGTATGGAAATCAATTACGTAGGAATTTTGTTCCTGTAATTTAAATTAAACCAAGGTGAAGAGGAAATTAACTCTTACTCCCTCCGTTCCATAATATAAGATGTTTTAGAGAAAATTGATGTTTCAAAATATAAGATGTTTTGATATTTTTAAGGTACTTTAACTTTATAGAAAACCGGTTGACCAATAATATTTTAGTTTATTATTTATGATTGGTTAATTTATTTTAAATTTATACTATCAATGATGTTATCTTTTAAAAAGTTAAGTTTCTTAATTCTTATGCTTTGGATAAAACATCCTACATTGTGGAACGGAGGGAGTATTTTATTAAAAAATCTGCTATAACTTAAGGAAAAAAAACATTTCCGTTTCTCGGTATCTTATAGTTGACATAGTCCAAAGTTGGAGGCTCAAGCTTCTGTTCAAAACGAAGATTGTGGTGACTGGAGAATTGAAAGGCTCAAGCGCTGTTCTCAGTATCTCATTCCGACCTCTTTATTTCTTCTTCTTTCTCTTAAGAAGACTTCTTCAAATTTTTTTTTTTTGACTTTAAAATTATGCAAAGAAAAAACATTGGCGACAAAGTCATCTCGTACCAAATCAACCGCCCCTATTCTCCGTTCCGAATTACCGTTCGGTCGTTTCTGTGTTGCTGACTCTAAAGCCATTCTGTCGTCGTTTCTCTACCTTCATCCACCACCGATCTGCATCTCGACTCGTGTGAATCTATACAAACCCCAGCCGGTGGCTGAATCGTTTCGGTATTCTCATGACAGCAGATCCATCTCGCCAACTAATGCCTGGCTTCAACTCGGACAGAGATCTGGGATTCGGCCATCATTGTTGGAGGGGTATTTCTGTGAAATCGAGTGGAAAGATGGATGAATCTGTGGGAGCCATCAAGCTGGAGGTGCCTATTTATAGGTTTGAGATCAAGAAAAAGCTGAAGAGTACAGAGGCTTTGAAGTAATCAGAGAATTAATAGAGATTGAATGCAAGGTTTAATGGCTTCTGCTTTAAATACGTGACTCCGTTACTCAGACCCATGGCTCGAGGAAGAGAAAAAGATTAGGGATTTTTCAATGTTGGCGACGAAGACGGTGAATGAATTCTCAATGAACTGATATCAGGCCACGAAGCCCAAATAAAAAGATTACAAATCACGTAAACGATGAAACGCACAGCAAAGCTAGAGAAACACGTGTCAACACTACAGACCTTGAATTTGTGACGTGGAACCCTCAGTAGAGAGGGAACTCTACTTTATATAAATAGATTGATTCTAAATAATTAAGATGATACCAAAATGTTTAAATCTCAAAAATGCCACATGTGGTGCTAGATATTTAGCTTGTATTTTTAAAATATTGATCTTTTTAGTTCCAAATAATCCACATATTCTAATTAAGAATATGGATTTCTTCAACATGCTCATTATATTGCTTCAACTATTTAATTTTTTTTATTCGATCCATTCATTGTAGCTAGTAGTAGAATGAAACAAATATAAAAAAAAAATAGAATGCAAACTGTAGTGCTAATGGTCCCAATTCACACTTATTCAACATGTTGAATTTTATCTACTCTCAAATAAATAAACTCAAATTTATTTCCTTAATATGCTCACTATAGTAATTCATCGTTAAATTTTTTATCCAACACATTCATTGTAACTAACATAAAATCTCTATAATTTTTAAAATTTTATTTTAGTATATAGTTTGTTTTTGTCCTCACATCTGACTATAGTTACCTTCCAAAATCCATCCAACCAGTGAGTAAATAAAAAAGTATGCTATATGTTCCTAAATAAATAAAACTAAGCGAAAGCTTATATAGGAAAAAAAAAACTTAAACCTTAGAAGATGCATGATTATTGATTTGCTTGAGATACAAAACTGAACACGTGTCGGTGTTTGATAGTGAAATTCAGCGCGAAGACCATTCGACAAAGTCTGTCCCAAGTAATTGCAGTCGCCACCTCTACCTGGTCCCTCCACCACTTATTATATATCATTATTATATATCACACAACAAACTTTACTACAAAACCATACATACGTTTTCTTGTTTCTAATGGATCATGTAGACGAAGAGATCGAGATCCCTAACTACTTTCTCTGCCCTATCTCACTAGAAATTATGAAAGATCCCGTCACGGCCGTTACTGGCATCACGTACGACCGTCAAAGCATCGTTAAATGGCTCGAGAAGGTCCCATCTTGTCCCGTGACGAAGCAGCCTCTTCCTTTAGACTCCGATCTTACTCCTAACCATACGCTTCGCCGTCTAATCCAACACTGGTGCGTTGAGAACGAGACACGTGGAGTCTCCAGAATCCCTACTCCTAGAGCTCCTCTGGGGAAGCTTAACGTCGTTGAGGAGATCAAGAATCTCAAAAAGTTTGGAGTAGAAGGTAAAGTGTGTGTTGAGTTTTTGGACGGTTAAATGTTAGTTATTTAAAGAAACCGGTTCAGTTGGACCAAATTTAAATACGATTCGGTTTGTTCATCTTGAATATTTTTATTTTTTGGTTCGGTTTAAATTTGAACAGCGTTACGAAGAGAAGAAACGTTGAAGAAGCTTGAAATGTTGGCTTTGGAGGGAGAGATAAATAGGAAACTGATGTGTGAAGCAGGCGTGCATAGGTATCTGATCTTGTTCGTAGTCAAGTGTATTATTGAAGAAGAAGAAGAACGTCGTATAAAAGGGCAGCTAGATGAGTCTCTACGTCTTCTTCACTTAATCGGTGTTCCATTAAACGACGCAAGAACAATTATGAACGAAGACGATCAAATCTTGGAATCTTTGACTTTGATCTTACACCAAAAGGACTTCATCAACAAGGCTTACACAATCGTGCTCTTGAGGAATCTAACGGGAAATGTTTCCTCTCATATCGTCGAGAGGTTCGGTGCCGAGATTTTCAAAGGAATCATCGGTTTTCTCAAGGATGTAACAAGTGGTATCAATCTCACTAACCCTACCGTGAGCCCTACGTTACAACCATCAAGTTCTAACGTGGGGTCAAAGCTTGATCGTGGTTTAGTTATTAAACGTGGTGTGACTGCGGCGCTGATGATTCTTCTAGAGACCTCTTCTTCGAGCCGGAGCAGAACCATCCTTGTGGATCTCGGTGCGGTTTCTGAACTCATCGAGCTCGAAATAAGCTACACCTGCGAGAAGAGAACCACTGAACTTGTGTTGGGAATCTTGTCTCGTTTATGTTGTTGCGCAGATGGTAGAGCCGAGATGCTTGCTCATAGAGGCGGGATTGCGATTTTGACAACACGGGTATTGAGGGTTTCGGTTGCAGCAGACGATAGAGCTATCACTATCCTCAGCACACTGTCCAAATTCTCGCCGGAGAATGTCGTGGTTGAAGAGATGGTTTGTGTCGGGACGGTGGAGAAGCTTTGTTCTGTCCTGAGAGCGGACTGTGATTTGAGCTTGAAAGAGAAAGCGAAAGAGATACTTAGAGATCACTTTGATGAGTGGAAGAAGTTCCCATGTGTTGATGTACCTCTACTTACTAAGCTTCTAAGCTCTTAGAGCAAATAAGATATGCACCACTAACTGAATTTGATACAATGTCTTGATCTAATTAAGCAAATAAAGTTTCTCCAGTGTCACAAATCACAAATTGTATGAACATACGTCAAACAAACACAAATACCATACTAGCTTTTTGATTTCAAGATCAAAATTCAATAAAACTAAAATTCAGAGAAGACCGCAAGTTTTGCCATAAGATAAAGAAAACTTATCGCCTTCTCATGCCACGGCCACGACCTCCACCGCGTCCTCTTCCCATAGCACCTGCGGCCGCATCTCCTTGTGCACTCTCAGACTGTATTTTTAATACAATTATTAATACAACAGATACTACACACACTATCTAAACATAGAGAATAAAATAATGAGAGCAAATATTAATTACTTTAGGGTTCTTCACAGTTTCATCCACACTAAGGATAAGGCAAGCTGCTTCAGTCGCAGCGTTTATAGCATTAATCTGCCACAACCAAAGGGAAACAACCGATCATTAATCTGCCCAAGTATACATTTCATAACTGGGGACAACAGTCCCAAAAAGGAATGAAGAGTAAGACGTTTATAGAATCTTTTAATACCTTCACAACTGCTGGTTCCCAGACGAAGTTAGCAAATGAATCAGCTATTCCACCAGTGTTAATGTCCACTCCGTAGTTAGCTCCTTCACCTGTTATAACACAACAGACATGATAGCATCCTCAAAATGAGATAACGATGCTTATCAAAATGATTTATACATCAAAGCTTGTGAGTGACCGTGAAAGTATCCTCACCGCTTTGCATGGCGTGTTTTTGTCTTAATTTATTCAGGACATCAGTTGCATCAAATCCGGCATTGTCACATAATTGTCGTGGAATAACCTGTAATTACACACCAGAATATTGTTAGGCACATAGCAGTTATGGAATTTTCAGAAGTCAAGAGGGACAAAAGCAAAACATCCAAGTCAACCAGAAGTGTACCTCCAGGGCCTTTGCATACGAGTTGATGAAAAGCTGTGACTTCCCAGCAATTGTTCGTGAATGTTGCCTTAGGTACTTGCTTATCTCCATCTACACAACAAGGAGCAGTCTCTTTCATTGTCAATGTTATTACCCTATGTGCAAAAATTATAAAACCAAACCATGGTGAAGGATACTCACATCTATAGCTCCACCTCCAGGAACAACAGTTGAGTTCTTCACAGCTCTTCTCACAATCATAATCGCATCATGTAAACTCCGCTCAGCTTCTTCGATGAACTGTCATTAACGTTTACAAGGAAGCAACATTAATGCTTATTTTTGTTTTCTCTAAACCTATATTTGATGTTTACCTGATCAGCTCCACCACGGAGGACAATGGTTGCTGTACGTCCTGAAGGGCAACCACTGAATATGTTAAATCTCTCCCCACCAACTTGTTTTTCCTCAAATATCTCACAAGTTCCGAGAACCTGCACATGATTAAAACCAGTCTCTGATTCAAAGGAACACAACCAACAAGTGGTTGAAAGCTTGTAAGCGTATCTAAATAGCAAGCAAAGAAATTCATTTTCCACTAACCTCGGGTATTATATTGTTAACACTTGTCTGAACTGTTCCTCCAGCAGCAGCAGCCACGCGATTAAGATCCTCTTCTGCTACACGGCCAGCGCAGAAGATATCACGATCTGCAAAGTACTGCAAAAATATGCCAACTGTCTTCAGTTAAATGACGAAAACACAGTAACGCACTCTCTTAATTAATAGGAAAATGAAACAACAAGATGCAAGACATCCTTCTGAACAATATTGATTGACAGGAGTAACGAATATGATTGGTTTCTGGCGAAATAAAGTATCTTCTACGCTAGACATGGTAACTAGAACCAACCAATGTAATTATGCCTCAAAGATGTTGTTCTCTCAGGAAATAAAGAAAGACGTCAATAGCCAATCGAGGAATTAGGAATCGACAAACCTGAGTAGCTAGATCACCAATAGCCAATCGAGAAAGAACAACTTTTGCTCCACTTTCGACACATTTGTCTAGCTTGTCATAAATGATATTCCATTCTGCATCGACTATTGACTGGTACTGTGACGGATCCGACAGCCTATGAACAAATAATAGGAGTTAGTCAAATAAGGCCAGTAATGTTCAACTGAAAGGGGAGTATTTAACAAAAAGAGTCAGAACCCCAACCTAATCTCAGCGTTTTCCTTCTCAGATTTCAACTCCAATTCGATGTTAAGCAGGAGGATTTTGGGATTAAGAAACTTCTTTGGCTGTTGTTCAAACCCTGCATATGAGAATGTCTTTTTGAAAGCCACACCATCAACTAGGAAAGAGTCTCGCATGTTACCACCCGGAACCTACAGAGCAAACCATAACATTAGCTTAGAAGCATCACTAACAAGGCTTTAAAAGCATAAGCACATATGGAAATTTCATATACAAGACTTGGATCCTAAAAATTCCCAATCTAAGACTCCAACCGCAAGGCCAATTTAAAAGCTTTAAAAAGAAAAGTCCTTTACCTTTTTGATCCCAATCAAATTAAGCCTATCGTCATCCCCAATAGCCATAACAGCATCAACAACCATAGTAGCGAAAAACTCCTTTTCACCACCAATAAGCTTAGAGGAAAGAGTAGTAGCAGCACATTTAGCCAACAAACCTTTCTTCTCCTCTACACTCTTCCCCTCAATGCTAACAGCTAGCTCTTTCACCTTCTCGATTGCCTATATGGTTTAAACATTAATTTACAATTACACTAACAAAAGATCTCACTAATTGCAACATGTACAAAAGAAAAGGAAAAACACAAACCAAAGTGCTGGCAGTACGATAACTCCTAATCAAATTCTGAGAGTGAACACCATCCTCAACAAACGGCTTAGCCTCCTTCAAAAACTCAGCTGCAAGTAGAACAACGGTAGTCGTCCCATCACCTACCTAAAACCATCAAAAAACTCAATCAACACTCTAATATCTGCATAACTGAATCACACTCAAGATCCAGGACTCAGCTCAATAGTGATACATCAAATCAGTAATTCAATCTGCTATATCTTTGGAGCCAACCTAACCAACAACAAAAGCAAGCAAGATCATTAACTGAATCAACACTCTAAGATCTGCATAACTGAATCACAATCCACAATATAAACACTCAAGATCCCTAATCAAGCTCAATAGTGATAAATAACTAACTGAATCACAATCATAAGCAGCAAGATCATTAATTCAATCACAATTCTAAGATCTGCATAACTGAATCACAATCCACAATATAAACACTCAAGATCCCTAATCCAGCTCAATAGTGATAAATAACTAACTGAATCACAATTATAAGCAGCAAGATCATTAACTCAATCACAATTCTAAGATCTGCATAACTGAATCACAATCCACAATATGAACATTGAAGATCCCTAATCCAGCTCAATAGTGATAAACAACTAACTGAATCACAATCATAAGCAGCAAGATCATCAACTCAATCACAATTCTAAGATCTGTATAACCGAATCACAATCCACAATATAAACACTCAAGATCCAGAATCTCCAGCTCAATAGTGATAAAATAAAATCAGTAATTAAATCAATCCATAACCGCAACCTCTGAATCTTGAGATTTGGCGATATCAACGAGGATCTTAGCGGCGGGATGAACAATATCGAGTAACTTCATGATTGTAGCTCCGTCGTTGGAAATGGTGACGGATCCCTTATCGTCGTGGATTAGCTTATCCATCCCTCGCGGCCCGAGCGTGGTTCGAACCACGTCGCCGACGGCTGTTACGGCGTTGATGTTGCTGATTAGCTGCGCTTTCCCCTGAGATGTGTCTGTGCCTTCCTTTAACAGAATGATTTGCGGTTGCTGCTCAGAGAAAAGTAGATTCGCGTCAGTCAGCGCATAAGCATATTCAGAGAGAGTGTGTAGATTCAACTTACCATCATCGACGCCATTGTAGATGCGTGATTGAGCTACGGAGAAACGAGAGAGAAGGGAGTGAAGAATAGAGAGAGAGAGAGAGATTTAGGGTTTATTTTTGGTCTTGTGTTCATATACCAATGAGGCAATGACTAATGATTTTAGATCTAGACCGGCCGGTCGAACCGATAAATCTGGAATCTAGGGGATGGGATAATCTGATTCGGATCTATTTTTTATTTTTTAACCCAGCAAATTTGACCCAGTCAAACGTATTTGGGCCTCTAGTTGGGCTAGCTACCACAATTTTTTGATGTGCAAATTTAACCAATCTATCGTTCCACACGGAAGCTTGGCGCTTTTCGTTTCGGAATCAGAATCGGAATCGGAATTTTGTGGAAGCTTACATAATCTAGATTCTAAAATGTTTCTAAAATATCATATATAAAACACGTTGGAAGCTTACGATTCCACTTTAGAATCACGATTCCAATTTTAAAAACACAATAGCATATATAAATAAATAAAATATAACATCACTTTTATGTTTCATAATATATAATAGTATATATAGTGAGAATATATATATATATATATATATATATATATATATATATATATATATATGTATGTGTAAATACTAATATTAATACTATAAATCATATATATGCACTGTTTTTATTAGAGATATATCATATATATAGATATATTCAAATATGATGTGCTAATTATTTATAAAATGTGAAAATAACTAATTGGTAATATTTGTTTATAAATTTAATTTATCCGTATTTTCACAATTATAATATACAATAATTTAAAATTATAATGAATGAAGAAATACTTAATTTTAAATTAGAATCATATAAATTTCAGTTATAAATTTTATAAAAAAATTAATATATATTAGATATACGTTGTATTCACTTCCTATTATTTTCAAAAAATCTCGATTTCGTGTTTCCAAACGATTCCGCATCCGCTTCCGTTTCCATGTATCATAGGCCTTAACTGGTTCTTTTATTTCAACTCCGATTAAGTTGGGTGGGTAAACGGAGACAAAATTTATGTTCAAGACGGCACTGGAGGCGGCGGAGTTCGGATAACCAAATCAACCGGTGGATGAAGAAGCTCATGAGAAATGTTTTTTTTTTTAGTTTTAGTAAGGAAAACATATCTTTTGGGACGGGATGGTGTAGTTTGGTAGTAAAAATCTTGGAGGTCAATAGTCATGCCCCCGGGTTCGACGCCACAGGGAGGCGAACTATCCATCCATGTCATAAATGCGGTACTGGGTGTTGGGCCATGTCCCCAGCCCAGGTTTAAAGCCCTCCCGGGTGAAAGTGGACCGTTGCCTAACCGGGTTCAAGGGAATGATCCACGTAAGTGTGGAACCCCTGGATTATAAAAAAAAAAAAAACGTATCTTTTGGGTTTTTTGGAATAAAGATCTATATTAATTATTAGTTGTGTGCTGTAATATTAAAAAATGCTCAAATCTGAGCTGGCAAATTTCAACTATTTTTGGAGCCAAGTGGTAACCAACCACAGTTTAAAAAAAGTAAAATCCACATAAAGGTTTGTTCACTGCTAAATCCTATTGATTTACTAGAAAATCTAAGCCGTTTGCTTGCAGGAATCAAGGAACCTTACTTAAATGAACGGTTAAAGATCAATCCGACATTCCTCGTGAAATGATTCCGCATTTTTGTTCTGTTCTGTCTCTTGCTTGTCACTCTCTTCGTCCTTTAATCTTCATCTGAAACTCTATATGGCTTCTTTCTTTCACTTGGAAAATCTATCAATCATGTCGAGATTTTCTCTAGCTATCTCTTGCTTTCTCTTCGTCTCAACGATTGTTAAAGCCACCGATGTCAAGTATTGCGGTATGTCTTATCTCCCAAAAGTGTTACTATGTGCTTGATTGCCAGATGTTTCTTGATGGAGTTTGCTATGATAATTTAATCTTATTAAAGATGATTTTGAATCTTGATCTGATTTGTTATGTGTTTGGTTCCAGATGACAACGAAGAGTATGAAGTAAAGGTCCAAGGTGTTCATATATTGCCTTATCCTATAGTTAGAGACGAACCAGTCACTTTCAGCATTTCTGCTAACACAGGTACACTCTAGTTCTAGCATTTCCTTGAAGATCTTTGTTTGTTCATTTATTTTGATGTTTTTTTTTTGTTATATAAGAGTGTTTATAGTTGTTTTTAATGTTACAACTTGAACTTCTTATGTTCTGAGAATGATGATCTTACATTGTTCTTGTTTTTATAGCTATTCTTCAAGAGGTAGAAAGATTTAGATAGAGTTTTGTTGTTCTAATGGTTTTTGATTTGTTTGTTTTGTATACATGAAGAGAATGTGATCTCAAGAGGAAAGCTGCTGATCGAAGTTTCATACTTTGGATGGCACATTCATTCTGAGACACATGATCTTTGCGATGAGACAAAATGTCCAGTGGCTATTGGAGATTTCTTGGTAACACATTCGCAAGTTCTACCCGGTTATACTCCTCATGTAAGTTTATTATTTTGAAGCATTGTGGACATAGTGACACCCTAACTCATTTAGACTAATTTGAATTTGATGTTATACTATAGTTTAACATAACAAACATGGACTAATTTGATTAATACTAACATTACTTTTATTATATTGTCATAGCAATTTAAGCTCTTTTTATGTCTCAATAGGGTTCATATTCCCTTAAGATGAAGATGGTTGATGGCCACAAGAAGGAGTTAACATGCATCAAGTTCTCATTTGAGATTGGACTTGAATCATTATTCGCCGCATACATCTAGAGCTACAATCTTGCTCGCTGGAATCACTCCATTTACTTTGTATAAAAGAAAAACACCAATTCTCTTTACCAAAATTGTTTATCAAAAATAAACATTTGAAAATTCTCAATTTTGTTCTCACCGTGACCATCTCCTTTGCAAAATCAAAGTCACATAATTTACTAACATCATACAATTAAATGTAATCTAATGTTCAACAAACCACTATGCAATAAGTATAAGCTTTGTAAAGAAAATAGCATACAAGTGATTATTTAGACTAATAAAAAAATTGAAAATTAGTTTAAGATAATGGTTACGGTTGTACACGTGTCCTCCGCTGAACGGTCCTTTATTTTCACTCGCGCAGTAATGTCCTAATACTTTTTCATCTTCTCTCTCCCGACAGAAACACAAAAGAAGTTTTCTCTCCTTCTCGCAGCGAATCTCTCAAGGTTTGGTCTTCCTCTTCTTTCTCTTTTATGTGTTTAACCCAATCAATCATCTATCTCTGTTTTCTCTCTGATCAATACTTTTCGTAAACGTCTGACTCTTACCTTTTATTTCTTATCCACATAAAACGATTAGTTCAAAACATTAAAGAACAGAACTATGATCTGTTTCTCGAAGCTACCGAATCTAATGATGTCATCTTAATATATATACTTCTGATCATATCTTTATTACCGTTTTTCAGAACCACATGGCCTCCTTTGACGGTCCAGGCTTCTCAATGGTCGATAAATCTTGGATCCAGACCAAAGCCATTGACATCGTATCCTCAACAGACATCTCTCCTTACCTCTCCCGTCTCCTAGAAGACTGCGTCTGGAACGGAAACAGAGCCATCGTCTTCGAAGTCTACTGGGACATCGAATCCGTCAACACAAAGTCCAAGCAGCGTCTATCCTCAGTGAAGCTAAGCACCAAGAACTTATGTCTCTTCCTCCGTCTTCCAAACCAGTTCACTGACAATCTCAACGATCTTTACCGCTTCTTTGCTTCCAAGTTCGTCACATTCGTCGGCGTTCAGATCCAAGAAGATCTTGTTTTACTTAAAGAGAATCATGGGATTGTGATCAGAAGTTATCTGGAGATTGGGAAGTTAGCTGCTGTGGCTAGAGGAACTCCTATTGTTGAGTTTCTTGGGACTAGAGAGTTGGCTGAGAAGATACATGGTAATGATATGAGTAGACTTGACTCGATTCAGTCTAAGTGGGATGAAGCTGGGGGTAATGATCGTCTTGAAGCTGCAGCTATTGAAGGTTGGCTTATTTACAATGTTTATGATCAGTTACAGCAGTGAGGAGGATGTTGTTCTATGTCACAACCTAACATTTGATTTCTAGATCAAATTGATTTGTGAGTTTGTGCATTTTGATCTGTTTGTTATTGTTATGAATGAACAAAATCATGTCTGAATAAAATAGAGTTAAACTTAGGCATGAGATGCGGGTTCGGTTTTTTCGGGTCAGAATTCGATTAGTTCGATTCAACCGAAAAGGGTTCGGTTCAGCTTTTCGGTAGTTTGGTTTCAAAATTTTCTACCAAACTAAACCAGATTTTTTAATTCGGTCAAATTTGGTCTAAACAGATACAAACTCAAAAAAAATGTGGTTAAATTCGATTCAGATTTTGGTTAGTTTAATTAATATTCAGAAATTTAACTAAGTTTGGTACAAGTTCATTATTTTATTTAGAAAACCGAACTAACCAACTACAAAACCGAACCGAAAACAATTTATTTTTAAGTTGCCGAATCGAAACTCCTAAAATCGAAAATTTTGGTTAACCACAGGCCTAGTTAAACTCTTACATTCACAAGTTAGTTTAAAAGCTAAAGAGAGAGTTACAAAACTTACAAGAAACCTCAAAACGTTACAACCATTCTCTGTCTAAACTATTCAGAGAGCGACGACATCATTGTCTCTACTCATCTCCGTGTAATGAAACTCGATCTGTAAGCGTTGATGCACAGGAACAGTCGAGGCTAAGCCTTTCTTGATATCCTCTTGCAACTCCCTTATCGGTATCGCCGCCAAGAAGCTCTTAATATACTCTTTACATGACTCCTTCCCTCTGCACACAACCTCTGGTTCAGACACAGGTTCAGATTCCGATTCCTCTGCTTGGACATTCTTGTGGATAACGGTTTTATCATCGAACTTCAAAATGTAAGCTTGATCACAACCCTCGTAAAGCCTCTCTCCAAGCGTGTCAATGATGTAATAAGCTTCGTTTTCAACTTTGAGTACAAAGAAGTGATCATTCCAGCTCACAATGTAAACACGCGGAGGAGAGTCATCATTATCAATCTCATCCCAAATGCTATCGAAAGACATAGCTCCTTGCAGAAACTCGAAGCATCCTTCATTGATCATCCCTTCTGGATGGAAAAAACCGACAAAGGACTTCCCTGGGACAACAGTTAGAGACCTGATCTTTGCTTGTAACACAGTGTCGAGATCAAAATGCTTGTCAGGGAATAGCTGCATGTAGGTCTCGTTTTCACAGAGGTTTCTCCACTCTAATGAGCCTTCTCTGATTAAACTATCGAACTGAGACTTGATAGGCATGAGATTACTGTTCTTTTGGAACCAATCTGCGATAACAGCTACAAGAGCTGTGCATGCACTCTCACCAGCTGCTTGCTCGCTTCTCTGGTCGATGGAAGCAAGAAAGACACTTGTCTGAAGCTTCATGTGTCCGTCTCTGCTTACCACTTCTTTCTCTTCCCAGCTTCCAATAGCGAAACTGTCGTCTCCAAACTCCAAGAATGAAGATTGTGTAGGATTTGCTGATGAAGATTCTTCATCTGTTTTGCTCCTCTGCAAATATAAAACATATGCCACAAGTTGAGACACAAACACTAACAAGAACCAATGTTCTAAAAATTTCATTTATGCACTTCATATCAGTTTTTACAGAGTTCTAAACCAGTTAAAATAGATTTAAATCGCTCTAAATTAGTCTAAATATGTCAAATCAAACAAAAATATTAGTTTAAATACACAATTTTTCTAATTTCTTTTTTTTATGTCTAATTTTTTACAATTTATCAAAATAGATTTTATAATTACATTTAAAAACTAAATATCTAATTTAAGTATAAATCAATAATCCATTAAGCCTAGTAGCTAGTCCTATCCAAATAACCTATAACATAGGAGTTGATGAGATCTTACCAAAAGAGCTTCATCTGAGCTAAGTTGTCTCCGATCATAATCAATGTCATCTCCACCTTCTTCTCCATTATCTTTCTTCAACAAAGGCTCTCCTTTGGCCTTTGGAGACCTAAAGCTCAGCTTCCTCTTCCTCCATGGCAATATGCTACGACGTGGAAGAAGTAATGATGTCTCATACACCAAACTAGAAGAAGCCTCTTCAACGTCAGAGCAGCAACCTCCTCCTCCTCCTACGTCAGACTTCCTGTGGCTATAATAAACCCAATCTTCATCTTCTTCTCTAACTTCTGTGCAACGGTTTAACGAACTTCCAACACCGTTTGCATAAGACAAAGGTCCGTAGGAGAAAGACTTTCTCACACTCATCAAATCTTCTTTGCATTCATCAGAAGCTTCCTCGGAAAGGTCAAGTGATTCTGATGATTCAAAGCTTGAGAATCTACCTCCTTCTTCTGCTTCTTCTTCTTCCTCCCGGTGGCAAGCCTTCTTTGCTTTCCTTGTGGAAACAAAGATCTTGACTTTTCTTAGACCTGCTTTGATTGCAGAAACATCTTCCTTCTCGGTTTGGTGGGTTTCTGGTGGTGGAGATGGGACAGGGACGACAGCTGTTTGTGAGTCTGAGGTTTCTGGTGTGGTTCTAAGCTCAAGGAGGCTCAATGATACCTAAAGAAAAACAGAATCATTAAGATTCAAGAAACCAAGATCTAGACAATGAAGTAGAGAAGGGAACATACACAGAGTAAGGGATGTGGCTCAGAGGCTATACAAGCAGAGAGCGTGAGAGGAATCTTTAATTCAAACTCTCTTTGATCGGTTACACGTGCGTATTCAGCTAGATTTAAAGATGCTGTTCCAACTAGAGGAGCTTTATTCTTCTGCCCTTGCTTCATTCCCTGGAATCAAATCTTGTCTTTAAGGTACATTGACACCAAGAATGAATAATCTATAGAGAACATGGCTGAGACATGAACTGGTACCAAATCAATTGTATATCACAAAGTCTCTAGCTTTGAATCTATAAGAAGAACCTTGTGACTTCATATCGTTATAAACTAACCAATTAAAACCCTAACATCACAAAGTCTCTAAATTTGAATCTTTAGATACTAACCAATCAAAAAACCCTAATAACCGTTTCAGATTTTTCTGTTATTTTTAAATTACTTACATTGGTGAAAACAGAGAAAGCAATCTCCCAAGGATAAAACAGAGTATCCTCTTTATAAGAAGTGAGAGAGCACAAGCTCTGAAACTCTTCCTCTCCCCACGAAACGACGTCGCTTTCCCCCGCCACAGCAGCTTCCTTTGTGAAGTCCCTCTTCACCGACGACCTCCTCAGAGATCCCAACGTCGCCTTAGGCCCTTTCCACCGAATCTCCACCGTCAATCTCTCCTTCTCAGCTGCTGAGCTCATCAGATCCAAACCTTCTAATCTCCTCACCGTTAGCTTCACCTCGTATTTCCTAGTAACTAGCGGCGGCCATGGCCGCCACTTCATCATCTTCACCACCATTTGAAAACAGGGGAAAGTCAAAAACAGAGGAAAATTAAAAAAAAAATAAAAGGTTTGATTTTTATTTATGGGGTTTAGTTTATATAAGCTTGTTTGATTTAGATCAATGCTTAGAAATAGAAAGGGAGCTTTTAGGATGGGGTTTCTAAAAACTTTGAAGCTAAAATTAACTTGGAAGAGTTTAGCTTCTTCCTCTGTTAAAGATGAAAAGGTTATGGTGCGAAGAGAGAGAAGAGAGAGAGGAAGTGGGCACACACAACACAGCAACAAGCGTGTAGACAGAGAGAGACAACGAAGAAAGTGAAAAGAAAGATCCCAACTTCACAGATCTGTCTCCTTCTCTCTCTCTAACGAACGAATAGAGTAGGAATAAACCGGAGTTAACCGTGGTTAAGTCTTTCTTTCCTCGTGTATGAACCGGGTTTTAGAATCCATCATCTATCTAAACCAAACCTCACGGAGGGAAGTAACGGTGTTAATTTATGCTGTTTTGTTTTTTTAGTAATTCAAATCCTTACAAGATATGTCACAGTTTTTTTATTTTTATTATTAAACTTTAGTCAATTTAGTAGCTCAGATTATAAATTGGTTTCGAGACTTTAATTTTGGATTTCATGTGTTGAGAATTATTTGTAGACCATGTGTGTTTTTGTCCCATCTATTATACTATAATTAAAAATTAGTACTAATCTTAGGTGCACTTGTACTAATCTTAGTAGCTCAAATTAAGTTAGGTCAAAACTTCAATTTTGGCTTTCATGTGTTGTTGAGAATTATTTGTAGACCATGTGTGTTTTTGTCACATTATACTTTAATTAAAAAAAGTACTAATCTTAGTTGTCTATTATTATTCCTTCCAAATTATCGTCATTCTATTAAATAAAAAATAATAGTATTATTAAACTTTAAAAGCTGGCAGGTTAACGTTTTTGGTGTCCGAACAAAAACAACACAAACGATCACTATAAATTCAAAAGAAAAAACTATAATCATGAAAAACTCCAAGATATATATTGATCAAGTTGCTTAGTAAAGAGCTTAAATAATAGTCAAATGACTTGGTTAAAGGCGCATGCGATTTTTAATTCTAGGTTCATCGTACTTAAATACATCCTCCAAAGTCCAAACATGTGACATGATCGATCCTATCGGTAGATAATCATGCATTTGAGGTTCAAGCATACATTTAAGTTTAAACATTAAAATTTAAATGCTTGTTTTATGCGACAACGTTTGACAACTAATGTGCTTCATGACACTGGAGTGCGGTGGTCACTGGCCCTAGCTATGCTTCACACTAAAGGAACACGCAGTATCTAATGCATCATGATTCATGCATGATCATTCTTTTTATCGCAATATAATTTTGCCTACCCACTTTATATTTCAGGAATTTTTTTAAAAAGTATTATATAATTTGATCATTTTCTTATATTCTGATAGTAATTATCATGGCTAAAGATTCATTCACTTGTTTCACACATCACAGCCATGTGCATATTATTTAATTTGCTCATAAGTTATGAAGCCTATCTGCTTTAAACACGACGAATACCATTGCGATTGTTAGATTTTACGGGGAAAAAACGATTAATGGTTTAAGCAAAAATAAGAAAACAAGTTAATTAACAATTGGTATGCATTATCATTCTAAATTACAACAAGTTAATTAACAATAACAACGATACATTTGAACGAAGAACTATGTCCAGTATATTAAGTTTCCTTAATTTTAATTCTCAACTTTTAGTAACTATGAACTTGAAAGCATCAACTAGTGAACGTAGAAATTATTAAACTAATCAAATATATGACTTCCAGATAATAATACGACCCGTAATTCAAGTTTGAATTAAATCATAAAAGAACTGGATGTTTAGTCAGCGATATTATCGGCATATGAGATGGTGGAACTTCAGCGTTGTCATCACGCTAGTCATTTGACTGCACAATTATAATAACTCCAGTTAACTCCAATTATAGTAGTGAAAAAAAAGCACAACTGTTTTAAATCATTTTCAGTGTTGAAGAATGAAGATGATGGGTTTCTGTCTCAACCACAATTTTAGGGCTACTTTTTCGAAAAGCTTTTACTTTTCTCTGGATCTTTCCAATGCCAAGAGTTCGTGTGACACTTTTCTATCATATCCTGCTTACCCTTTGAAGTACGTATAATAGCTGTTTGTTCCAGACTACTAATCCTTTTGGACAAACTATACATGGATTATGTCTAAACCAAATTATGCCGCTGGCGATCTATTGCCATAAAAAACAAAATATTGTTTAGAGTATGAACTGTGATTAGTTTTCATGTACCACTCCAATACTGGAAGTTTTGGTCGAGAGATGTTAATTACTAAGATGGTATAAGTATTGGAACGTCGATCATGATAGGTATTAACTCATCAGTGATGGCGATGTTATACAATATAAGTACAAGAATATTAATTCAAGAAGCACTAAGAAAATCCAAGAAAAGAATGTGTAGTTCTTTTTTACATAAAGAATGTATGTAAAAGATATAGAGTCCGATTGTATTCTAGTTTTATAGGCTTTAGGTTTTGTAAAGTCATTAAAGTCGAAATTTTAAACAATCAGATTTTAAGCTTTAGACCACTTAAAATTTCGTGTAAAACCTCTAAAACCAATTTTTAAAATGATTCTTCTATTTTGTTCATGTTTTTCTAAAATCATAATTTCAGATTTTAGATAAAAGTCAAAGTTTTAAAAGCCAAAATCTCTACAGTCTAAAGCTTAAACCTGCGTAAAGCAACAGTCCGTACCAATCGGAGCCAATATGAGCACAATGAGGGCGAGTAAGTGGTGTGGTAGAATTTGGACAAATTCGTTTTAGCCTCTATTTTGTTATTTTTTCCCCAAGATTTTGTGACACTCTAATGTAAAGCTGCACGAAGAATATATAAATATTAGATGGACCAGCAAGAAGAACACTAATGACTCTCCAATATTGGGCCTTAAATATTGTAAATTGGCCCACCATCATACCCTCTCTATCTGCTCCAATTAACTCGTTAAATAAGAAAAACTGATTTCCTCCTATCACTCTCTGTCTCTCACACTCATCTAATCTTAAAATCCATCTCCGAGAACGGTGGAGATATGTATAGCTCCCTTGAAACGACGGCTCCGGCCACGTTGTCACCGCGAGGTATGTCCCAATTTCCTTTATTAGATGACGAAGATGGAGATATGTATATTAAGGATCTGATTAATTTCAATTAATATATGCAATTAGTTTCTCTCTTGACATATTCAGACAACACTTTCATTAGTTAATGTGTTTCTGGTAATTTTATTTATTGGTTGATCAAATATTTTCTGAATGATAACGTAAAACAAACGGTTCTACTCGGTAATAAAACTGACGATTAGTTGTTTAATCGCTGACTAAGTTTATCTCTAATCTTGTCCCTAATGGGGACTTAAGGCAGATGATCTTTTGAGTTTATTACTGTAAATGTTAATGCGTAAATAAGTCATCAAAGATTTATAAATTGTGACTATTCTTTAAGCTTTAAGCTTATATGCAGTTTTATTATATAGTTCGTAAAACAGGACCATGGGAGAAAGACATGTCAATTACAGGAGGAGACAAACTAATACTAAAAGGGTTAAAGTTTTACGGTTACCATGGAGCGATACCAGAAGAGAAGACTCTAGGGCAAATGTTTCTCGTTGACATTGATGCGTGGGTGAGTCTGAAAAAGGCTGGTGAATCAGATAACTTAGATGATACTATCAGCTATGTTGACATTTTCAGGTTCTTAGCTCTTTACCAATACCCACTTATCCATGTTCCATCATTACATATAGTTATATGGTTTGATTTTTGGCTTTGCAGCATAGCTAAAGAAGTTGTAGAAGGGTCATCAAGAAACCTTCTGGAGACAGTCGCGGAACTCATCGCGTCCAGAACGCTTGAAACGTTTCCTAGGATAACCGCTGTAAGGGTGAATGTGTCGAAGCCAAATGTTGCACTTATCAAGACTACTATTGATTACTTAGGAGTTGAGATTTTCCGACAGCAGAAGTATTGATTCAATGATTTGAATAAACTTTGTGTTCAATAATCCTGTCGAGACAAATAATTTTTTTTCCATGAAATTATTATATTCATAACAAAACATAACTTCAAGAGTTTTATGAATATCAAGAATCAAATATGTAATTCTTAGTAATATATATCGAGAATTTTCATTAAAAATCTGTTTAGTCTTCAGAGTCTTCTCGGTTAATGTCATCGAGAATTACAATGAGAGAGACTATAAACGCATAATCAACATTCGGATAAACAGTAACCGAGAAATTACTCTTCCCAATCAATATGCTTTGTGCAGTATGCTTCTTGTGCATCTGATAAAAACCATAACAAACAATAATTAATTAACATTATCAAACTATATAACTTTCTTGTTTATATTCGAGAGAATTAACGAGAAAGTTGATGGTTACCTGAGCAACAATGACATCAGATTTGCCAGCGTAGACTGTACATGACCGGTCGATCCAACTTCCTTTGACATGGAAGTCACATTCCTTCATTTCCTTATTATGAGCCAAGAAAACATCTAGCTTTGGCTTAATCAGTTGAAACATCGACGATCGCTTCAATGTGAATACCAAATCATTATGGTCTGAACTCTTTCCTCTGAACACCTGCCACCTGTCGTGAAGGCTCACCTTCTACAAATTCATATTAATTTCAGTGAGAAAAAAAAATTTAAATCATGGCCATTAGGGAAAGGTTTTAACCAATGATCAATGATGATATAAACATATCTTAAATTAACTGATTACAGGATTATTTTTTTTTAACTATATATTTACCACAGTAAAAGTGAGTGTTCTTACATTTTCTTTCAAAGTTAAAATGGGAGTGTCTGCTGCATCCAGTAAGAGCCTTTTGTCGGAAAGACTAAACAATGGCTCTTTGACTTTGAAAAGGAGGTTTCCGTTGACGTCGGTGACGGCGAAGTTACCATCTGTTATCGTCATCACCTTTCGTACGATTCCCAAATCTACTGGGTACGGTGCACAAAAGTTAGGGCTCACGATCGCCATATTGACTCTCTTTTTTTGTTTTCTGATTCTTGTGCAAGATGCTTAAGAATGAGATTGTGTACGTTTACATCTTCATGTTGTTTATTTATAACTAGGATCATTCCGTGTTAACGCGTGATGCATTTAATTTTGCTAAATACGTTAAGCAAAGCTACAAACGCGTTGAATAAAAAAATAGATTTGATGGAGAACAATAAATGATAGATTAGGAATGATCTATTTTCAGCGTGTCTATTAATTTAATTAGAGCCGTAGAATTAATAAAATTGTGGTATGGCAATGTGATGATAATTTGTTTAGCATATCACAATTTGAACTCGGCAATTGTTGAGCTCGGCCCACACTATCAAAAGCCCATATAAGAAAAAAGTCTCAAATTTCTGTAAAGAAATCAGTGAGACAGGTCAAAGCTTGTTTATTGTCACGGTCAATATAAATTTAAAATTGTAAAAAAAAAAAAAGAGAGGAAAATCAATCTTGAAGTCGTGGGGTTCAATTGACACACCGAAGCTCCTTCCCTATAGAAAGCGTTTTCCTTCGAAAAATTAATCAAATCGAAAGAAAAACAGCTTGAGGAAATCATGAACACCGAGTAGTAAGTGTTTGTTTTGGTCTTTACGCATTGTATTCTCTTACTTTCTCCGCACTAATCACAGTGACACCGCTGCCTATTTTAATTTCTAGCGATTATCTGTTCAAGCTTTTGTTGATCGGTGACTCCTCTGTTGGAAAATCATGCCTCCTTCTTCGATTCGCTGTGAGCTTTTTGACTTGTTTTGATTCTCATTTTACTGTAGAATCTCAACATTTTTGTAATTTTGGATTTGTTTTGTTTTACTTTAACAGGATGATGCTTACATCGACAGTTACATTAGTACTATCGGTGTTGACTTCGTGAGTTCCTTTTATCATCATATCTTAATATGATTTGAGCATTTACTATATGATTGATTGATTGTTCATTCGCATAGTTACTTATAATGTGATATAAATTGCAGAAAATTAGGACTATTGAGCTGGAGGGGAAGACCATTAAGCTGCAAATCGTGAGTTTTATTAAATCTTCCATTGATACTAATATTTCCTCCAATTCTCTTCATATTAAGTGTAGTTGTAGACTTGTAGTGAATTTTTTTTGTTATAAAATAAGTGTTGTTTTCTACTTTCTTATTAATTTTATATTTTAATTTATTTTTGTATTAGTTGAAATGTGGTTAGTTATACAGTTAATTATGTTTTTATATAGAAAATATGCAAAATTAGTTGTTTTCTTTATCCTTGTTCATAAAGCTAAAGTGACACATGTACACTTAATATGAAATAGTATGTTTCAGATAACTATGTCCCTATAATCATTTACATTTCTTCTTTCTCTTCAGTGGGATACTGCAGGGCAAGAACGTTTCAGGACCATCACTAGCAGCTACTACAGAGGAGCTCATGGAATCATTGTAAGAGAGCCTCTCTTATCTCTAGAGCTCTGTTTTTTTTTTCCTGCTTTGTGGACTTATTTTTGCTAGTGGAATGAAGAATCTTGAATTGTTGTTTTAATCTTTAATGCTCTAAGACGCAGCTGATGGGATTTAGTGATGATGTTTTGCAACAGATTGTGTACGACTGTACTGAGATGGAAAGCTTCAACAACGTGAAGCAGTGGTTGAGTGAGATTGACAGATATGCTAATGAGAGTGTTTGCAAGCTTCTTATTGGTAACAAGAATGATATGGTTGAAAGCAAAGTTGTTTCCACCGAAACTGGAAAGGTAATGAGAGTGTTTTCTTTCAGTTATGATTGTGATTTTTTTCCAATGTGCATCTAAATGAGTTGCAAACTGTTCCCATAGAACATTAGGGATAATGAATGTATAAGGATGATACCACAATTTTAGGGATAATGTGTGTATAAGGATTATTGACTAAAGTTCAAAACTTAGATGATCAGATTCCAGCGACAAATTTGCTTATATTAAACAAAAAAACACACTACAGGCGTTAGCAGATGAGCTTGGAATTCCATTTCTTGAGACCAGTGCTAAGGATTCTATCAACGTCGAACAATCATTCTTAACTATTGCTGGCGAGATCAAGAAGAGGTATGCTCACTGTCTTTTACTTTTCCTCATAGTTTATCCAATATGCTACTCTATGTTCCCTAGTGAAGCTGGTCCAAACTATTCATGTAAAGTTTTTAAATCCGAAATTCGTTTTTTTTCATGTGTTTGTTCTCATTGTATCTACATTTGCTGGTTCGTTTGACTGTGATCATATTGTTACTCTTTAATTTTGCAGAATGGGAAGCCAGCCGAATGCAAACAAGGCTTTAGGAAGTGGAACTGTTCAGATGAAAGGTCAGCCAATTCTACAGAACAATGGCGGTTGCTGCAGTAGTAGTTAAGCAAAGTATTATCAAAAACTATGTGAGACTTACTTTTTCTGTTCTTACTATGTGTTGTGAAAACCAATGGCTGTCGAAAAACAACAACTGAAAACTTTAATATTTCATGTCACTGTGTTCGAATAATCAATGGTGTTGTTAGTTGCTATATTCATGTCTTAGTATAGATACATCTTGACATTTGATTACATAACTCTATGTTCCTCTTATGCTATTGTTTAGATATATTGATATGTTTCATTCGTCCACATATTTATCTGATTTCTATAAAAAAAAGTAAAGTAATTCAATAGTTTGTTGTTTAATTGTTGTGTTTACTTAATTTTATAGAACAAGATATAGATTAATCTTTGATTCCACAGTTTATTTGTGGATTTTAAACATATGCAATCTACATATCAATAGTTTGTTGTTTAATTGTTGTGTTTACTTAATTTTATAGAACAAGATATAGATTAATCTTTGATTCCACAGTTTATTTGTGGATTTTAAACATATGCAATCTACTAAAATGAAGCCATTTATCAAAATCATATAATTTGGATTTTAGTGCGGTTTAATTCATCAAACTAAACTCAGTTTTGGCCTAACAAAAAAAATCGAAATCAAATTAAATCTACAATCGAAATTTGTTAATTCTAAGCAAACTAGTTCGGTTAGTGCATAACCGAGAGAAGCCAAGAAGACCTAATGAGTGAAACCAAGAAGGTTTAATGAGTGAAGCAGTGGTGGAGTTAAAAAAAAAATTTTAACCGGATATCAGCAAAAAAAAATGTACAAATTTTCTACATAAATAATGCTTCATCTATATTACATCACAATTAATCATTTTCATTGGTGTTTCATTTTTTACTTTTTACTTCATTTTAAAACAAAATTTATTCCACTAATGTTTCATTTCTTACTTCAATAAGTAATTAGTGTTTTGGTATTTTTCTTTTCCCTTCACTATTTCCTCTTCTTCTCTCTGCTGTTTCATCTTCTGCTCATTCTTCCCAACAATGCAAATATTTATTACAAACAATATAATTAGATTTCATACGAATATTCATAAGAATAATTGAGAGAACCAAAAGTTACTTTTTAATTATATATCAAATTTTTAGAATCAAGTTTTGAAATTGATACTTATCACCAGTTTTTTTCTAAAATTTGTATTTTAAACCGAACTCAGTTTCTTCAATGAATCACTATCGGATAGTTTAAACTATTGATCCAATTCAATTTTCAAAACATTGGTTTGTAATTAGAAACGAAAATACAATAATATAAATAACTAAATTGTACTTATATCGAGTACATATAATAGCACAACAATATTGTCCTCCATTATGTTATCAAATATAAATGCGCTCTGCTTTTCTTTTTCTTAATCAGAATTTTTTTTATAAAGTTGTACCAAATTAAAAATCATTGGCCACTCTAACTAAAGAACAAAACTTGTATCGGCCACCATTAAAACAAAAAAAGAATCAAAATCTAATAGTTGTTACTCACACCATATCATTATTACATCATTCAACTTTTGTGTTCATTAACCATCTGTTCCGTCTATTCAAAAAATATTCTCCAACCATATTTATATTGCTTGGTCTGCATCATTTTTTACCCGCATTCAGACCTCAAGCTTATGATTTTATATCATTTCATAAACTATTGATAACCTTGTTTAGAATGTTACAGGCTTGCAGCTATTTAATATGATTGAAGGAACACAAAAAGTCATTGATAGAGAAACAAATATGTATTTTGATGAATATTGATTCACATAGAAAAAGTCAGACAACTTTAAGATTTCTATTGTAATTGGGTCTCAAATCAAAACTCATATCTCACAAGACAGCCACAAGCCAACTCATCTCTTCTCTCCAACACATGTTTTTAGTATCTCTTCTACAAAATACCTTTCATATTTATTTTGTTTATGCTTAAAAAGTCATACCTTTCACCTATTACAAAATTCTTAAAAAAAATAAAATTTATGCATATCTGTTATACATATTTTGTTTGCACACCAGCAACTTATATGTGATGATACAATGATGATGGTAATGAACAATGATACCATTCAAGTGGAGATGTACCCACTAACAAATAATCCATAAATAAAAAAAAACAAGACAAGATGCTTACGAGTGAAGAAACGGTTGTGGGTTCTCAAGTCTTTTTCTTTTGTTTCCCACTTTATAATTCATTATTTTCACACACCAAATCAATTAAAAAATTGAGTCCATGTATCTAATTACAATTTTTATAACTCAAAAAATCAAACAGCCCAAAAATAATTTCTTTATATAGAAAAACCGAACAATTCTTCTTTCATAATCTTTTTGAAGAATGATTTGAATACTGATGTTCCACTCTCTTTTATATTTTCTCTTCCACATCTTCATTCTTTTCCTAAGAACCAGCGAAAACATTAAAAAATATATGAATACACTTATTAAGTTATTTTTAAAATTCATATATAATTGAATTGATAAACTGTAACCTCGAATCCTAACCTTTTGTACGTTTTTACAGATGAAATTTCAGGGATTTGCCTTTAAATCTCTTCGGGTTTGTGAACTTCATCAGCATTTGCTTATATATGAGTCTTTGCCAATTGCTCCAAGCATTCTACATGCTACCTCCAGCAACTTCCCTGTTGATTAATGAAACAAAATAAACTTTAATTATTAAGTCATGATCACAATCAATTAATTCCAATCACAATCTCCTGTCACTTAATTAAAAAAAAGCTAAAAACCAATAATTTAACCAATATAATAACTGAAATTTTGGAAACGTGAGAAGATGCTTTAGGTAATGTTGAAGAAGCTTCGAAATGATTCTTTCTTCTTTTTGATATCATCTTCCAATCTCCTCACCAATCTTTACTTTTTAGTACATGACGCGTTAATCATGTTCTAATAATCATAATTTACAGATAACTTCGATCATAATCATATTACTTATCGTATGAAGCCTAATTAGTCACGTCGCTAATGTTGTTAAGAAACTAGATCAATCTACACTAGAACAATTCACTATTGGATTCAACTATTATGACTACTAGTTGCATATTCCCCGCGCAAGCGCGGGGTCGGGATCATTATGTTTGCATGTATTTTTTCGATTGTTGGTTTAGTGGATTCTTCTAATGACACCAATTAATAATGAAATGAAAAATTTCATGTTTTTATATCGTATGTCAAAACTTGATATAATTCTATATTTATAGTATTTATATTTGTATTAAACGATTTATCAATATGAAAATAACCTTAATTAAGTTAATATTCGTTGTTTAAGTTTCATTAGATAGGTTTTTATATATGGTTTTTTGTAAGNGAGTTAGTGGTGAGAAATGTTTTCAATGAAATTATAGTAGTTATTAAAATGTAAGAGAAATTACATATTCATTTAATAAATAACTTACTTAAATTTTGTTGTTTATTTTATTTTATTTCGCATACAATTTTTTTTGAAAAATATTAGGAATGTGTTAAATGTTATTTATATGCGAAGTAAAGTTTATAGGAATAGTTAGACTATAATATAGTTTTTAGTGTGTAAAAGTAGATGTGTTTTTTTTTGCTGTAAATACTTTTTATATCGTAGATCAAAACTTGATATAATTCTATATTTATAGTATTTATATTTGTATTAAACGATTTATCAATTTGAAAATAACCTTAATTAAGTTAATATTCGTTGTTTAAGTTTCATTAGATAGGCTTTTATATATGGTTTTTTTTTGTTTGAGTTTTGTTCATAAATGATGTGGCATTTTTATCTACGGCGACATCGACTGTGGGAATCCATTCGCCGGAGTTTGAAATCGGTGGTAAGGAATGTTTTCAAGGAAATTATAGTAGTTATTAAAATGTAAGAGAAATTATATATTCATTTAATAAATAACGAAAATAATTAATTTTTGTTGTTTTATTTTATTTTATCTCACATACGAATTTTTTGAAAATATATATTAGGAAATATGTGCAATGATTTAACTTTTTGAGCTCCTAATCTATATTATTCAACCCTTATTAAGCCATCCACGTATGCACCCGCGTGGAATTCACTTTTTTTTTTTGTTTTTTTTTTTGTCTGTTCGTTTTTAGATCTATTTTTTATTATTTTTGGGTTGAGCTATATTATAATATGATAGTTTTAAGGTTCTTTAAGCCATCCGCGTAGGCAACCACGTGAGACTTGTTTTTTATTTTATTTATTGTTCGTTTTGGATTCATTTTTAACTATTTTTGGTTTGAACTTGTTAAGGTTTAAAGTTTATACAACTATTTTGATCTTTAAAACAATAAGCCAAAAAAAAATAAGAACCTTATAAACAAAAAGCTCATATGATAATAACCTAAATAAAAAAATCAAAAATACATGATAGCTGCGTGGTTTGAACCCACAATCTTGCATAAATAAAAAAATCAAAAATACATGATAGCTGCGTGGTTTGAACCCACAATCTTGCATACATAATTAGACACCTTATACCACTTGACTAAAGTGTATTTCATTGTTTGTGACCATCTTACCAAGACTATTTGTGTTTAAAAAATATCTATGCATGAGAGCAGTGGGAATTGAACTCATGCCCTTGTAGACCAAACATGGGGCCTTAGACCACTTGGCTAAACTAATATTCCTTGTTTGTAATCATTTTAAAAACACTATCTATATTAATATAAAAATGTGGGACCCACAATCTGCCTATGTGGACACCTTAAGGAGCCTTTAAAGTGTATCATTATAATATAGATTTGAAAATCGATTTACCTAAACCGGAAACTATAAACCATAGACACAACACATAATCAATCAAACGTACCTCTTCTTGGCTGAACAACCTTCTTAACCGAACTACTCGGTTTCTGAACCGTCTCTTCTTCCTCCTCAGGGAACAAGACACCATCAATCCCCTGAACCGAAATCCGACCGTCCGTATAAATATCCGGATCAAACAAATAAGCAGACCGGTCACCCGAACCGAACTTAACCGAACCATCAGCTTCCTTCGCCGCAACTTTATGAGGAAAACGCAGCGTTTCATACTTCACCTTCCCAAACCTCCTAACCGAGTTATACATACTCTCCTCCGTTTGATACTCCGGTATGATATGATAATACATTATCTGCTCCGGAGCTCCGGGCTCGCTCAGCTGATCAGTCGTCAGCTTCGCCATAGCCTCGTCGTTGGGAGCCAACACGGTGAGGACATAACCTTCCGACACTAACCGTCCCATCTCCGTCGCCAGCGACGTCAGGTTCACGAGAATATCCGCCATCTCGTTGTATCCGCCGTAATGTAGCAACGTGTGGATGAAGTCTTTGACCTGAGCCTCGCCGTTGAAATGGTGACGTGGACCTCCGGGTCCCGGCGCCGGCGCCGGAGCTAGCGACGGACCTGGAGCCATGGCGGATTGGATCGGGAGTACCGGCGGAGCTCCGGCGGGTACTGCGGCGGATTTTTTGAGACGGTTTGTTCTCGGGTCGATCTCCGGAGCTCCTTCGGGTAACACGGCGGAGATTGACCGGAGGTTTCTCCGACGGTTGAAATCTTCTTGGACGGAGCGTGGGATTAAAAGCCGTTCGATTCCGTGGATCAACCCGTCGGGTCGGGTCAAATCATCGGGTCGGGTTATCACGGCGGAGTTCACTAGTCTCTTCCCGTTACCTTTGGTTTTGCTCAAATGCAAAACCTGGTCGTGTCCTAACGTGACGTGTTTGACACGTCTCGAATTATTATCTTCGGGCCATTGGTTTGACCCGACCCGGGTGGGGATAATGTGGGACAAGAGAAGCGTTTGGAGGGATTTGAGGTTACCCGGTTGGAGCAAGAACCGTTTGAAATCCGGGTCAAGGTCACGCTCTAAGGCTTCGTTACGAGGGGCGAAAATGGTAATATTGTGACGACCAACGGCGTCTTCTAGTGTTTGGAGGAGGAGAGCTTTCTCGACGAGCTCCGCGAGCTCGGTGTAACGAGAGTCGAGGAGAGCGACGAGGACTGAGTTTGAGTTTATTTGACCAGACCCGGTTATGTTGTGGTGAACCGGTTCGAGAGTGTGTGGCGAAGCTGAGGCAGTGAAGAGGAGGAAGAAGAAAGATAAGGCGGAGCAACCATAGATGCAACGATCCATGGTGCTCATTGGGATAATCTCTTGAAGAAGAATAGGAATATACTTGTTTTTGGAGAATATGCTTCGTTTATTTATGATTACTTGAATCGTCGGCGGTCGATAGTGGGTGTGAGAGACGACCAAGAAGAAGAAAGACAGAGAGAGATGTGTGGATTTTGGGTGGTGTCTGGTCTTGTACCAAAACAGGTTTGGGTTTTCGGACAGGCTGGTGGTGGGAACCACACGGTGTCTGAAAATTTTAATTATTTTAGCTGACTTTGGCTTTTCATTAGGTCTCGCCTCGGCTCAACTCGGCTTCCATTACGTTTCGGTGAACCTTTAGTATTACTAGATTTTATACTCGCGCTACGCGCGAGTCTATATTAATAATTTTAAACAAAAAAATTAATTGAGTAATATAATTTTCTTATTTAAAATATAATTTTTAATTTAGTATTTATGTTTTCTTATAATTATGTTATCTTATTAGCTATTTAGTTATTTGTATTTGTAAGTATAATAATTATGTTTGTAAACATATTCATAATTATTGGAAATATTAATTTATATATTAAAATATTAAATAGGTTTCTCAATGCATGTAAATTGTTAGCACATTATAATATTTTCATCATACATTTTTATATTTTTTAACAAAATAAATCATTAAACTTCAGCATAATATATAATTTTTCTTTGTACTCAGAAAATATAATTTTTTTTATTTTCTCTTTAAGTTGTATAAAATTTTAATATTTAAATAAGTAATATTTAGATTTTTTGTATATTTAATGAATAACTGTATTTATTAACATATTTTTATAGTATAGATTTTTGTTACCATTCACCTTTTTAGAAATAACAAAATTAAGATAGTCATTTGCCAAATTCTTTTGGTATTTACTTTATGTTAATTTTTACAATTCTTCTATATACTTAGTTAACTACCTTACTTATATATGATGTTTTTACTTTTGTAGTTTTATCAAATTTTGATACTGATTTACATTTTATTTTGAAATAGATCATTTTCGTTAATATTGATTTTTTTCTAAGAAATATCAAAATTAAGATAATTAGTTTTTTTTTTTTAATAATTAGTTATTTTAATGTTAATTTCACAAATCTGTAATATAGTAAAGTTAACTTATATATAATGTTTTTACTTTTATAAGTTTACCTGATACATATTTAATTTTTATTTTGAAATTATTTTTTTGGCAACATTAACATTTTTTAAAATGACAAATAAAAAAAATATATATCATGCTATGATTTTTTTTTAAAAAATTCTATGTGAAAGTTTTCAATGGCTTATAACTAAATTTTATATATATATATATATATATATATATATATATATATATATATTACTATTCATTTTTTAAGAAATAGCAAAATTAAGATAATTATTTGACTAATTATTTTATGTTATTTTCGAAATGATTTTAGAAATTAAGTTAACTTATATATGATGTTTTATTTTTGTAAGTTTGCCATATTTGATATTGATTTATATTTTGTTTTGAAATTAATATTTTTTAATATTGACTTTTACAGAAATAATAAAGTTGAGATAATTTGTTATTTTAATTAATTTCGAAAATTTATAAGTGTTAAAATTAACTTATGTATATTTGTTTTTTTTTAAGTTTCCCTTATACAATATTTATTATTATTTTTTTATTTAGTAACATTAACATTTTTTAAAATAACAAATCAAAAAACTTATGTGTAATGATATGATTGGAAGACTTAAATCATATGTGGTTGTTATAGTCATATTGACTTTTCAGAAATATAAAAATTAAGATAATTTGTTATTTTAATTTTAAAAATTAAATTATATATAATGTTTTAGTTTATTAAGTTTCCCTTATGCATATTTTCTTTAGTAATATTAAAATTTTTAAAAATAACAAATCAAAAAACTTAGGTGTCATGATATGATTGGAGGACTTAAATTCTACGTGGACGCCCCTCATGGCTTATAACCTCAACTTTTATATAGTATAGATAATATCTGAATAAATTTTGTCATACCTTTTGATCGATAAGTAATAACCCGAAACTCATTAGCAAACCAGCCTTATTGATGTTACGTGCTTCGCAAAAGTGAATCCTTCTAGCAAGGATTTCATTCTTATTAAAACATTTTCTAAGATCATCGAAAACCAAAGAAGAAGTCAAAGCAACCATTGTATCAATATCTATTTTCTCTTTCCAATATCTCTCTGTTTCTCAACATATATTTTGAAAACTTTTAGAGCTTTAGACAATTATTTATAGTCACTCAATACTTCATATATTATAAAAATATATACAAACATTTGGAAATCCTAACATTAAAATTTGGAAATCTTGACATTTTAAAAATTAATAATTTATATTAGTAACCTGCTTTATTCTATTTTATGTTAATATACAGAACTTTGGAAATCTAGACATTTAAATTTGGAAATCTTGACAATTTAAAAACTAATAATTTATATTAATAATTTGATTTATTCCATTTTATGTTAATATAGAGAAATTTGGAAATCCTATCATTTAAATTTGGAAATCTTAACATTTTAAAACCAATAATTTATA